AAAGAGTCGGCGTATTGTATGGCAAAGTCGGCGATTGATATGTTCACCAAATGTATGGCCACTGAGTTGGGACCCAAAGGCATACGAGTTAATAGTGTTAAGTATGTTGTGTTTTGCATCTCTCTCTGTCTCTCTCTCTCTCTCTCTCTCTCTCTCCCATTGATAATGTTTATACCGTACATACCTATAGTGACGATCCAATCGCTCCTTACCCTTGGGATCCAAACAACACCCCTAACGACCCGTTTGTCGAATTGGCGCCGAAAATACCGGTGAAAAGGGTCGCCGTTTCCGACGACTTAGCATTCGCTGTGCTATTATTGGCGGCACCGGAATCAACGTTTATAACCGGAACTAATATGTTGGTCGATGGGGGCTATACTGTTGCTGGTCTATAATAAACACCTCATTTCTATAATAAAATCTATAATCAAGGTTGAAGTTTAGAATAATTAAACAAGTACAATTTTAATTCTTGGAAGTTTTAGTAGATTTGTAATATTATCAGTATATTCTTTAATTACAATTATTTATCTTATTATGAAATAATATTTTATTGAGAATATTGTCGTGTTTTGAAATATATTTAGCAATGTATAAGATTATTACAGGTTTTACCAAAATGCTATCGACTAAGTCATTACAATTTCTCACAATTATATACAAATTATTATTAAAATAAAATTAACAATTTTAAGTTTGTAATAAACAATATAAACTTAAAATTGTTAATTTTATTTTAATTATATTAAATATTAATTATGACTGTTAAGTTCGCATAAAGCTTAAAGTTTTAGTTTTAAATTGTTAATTTATAAAATTGGCAAATAGTTTAATTATAATTTATAATTTAACTTATATTGTAAAAATATTACAAAAAAATATATCAATCATTTCTAGATTTCTAGTCCCTTTCTCCCAATTTATGTGATATAAAAATATGTTATGAAAAAACATCTCAAATGAAACTAAACTCAGATTGAAATCCCCTCCAAAATAATATTACAATTAACAAATGTTTTAAACATTAAAACAATAGTTTCATATATTATTATTCGTACAGAAGACAAAATTATAAATAAATCTTTTTTTGTGTTCGCAATGTCCACCTAACCTTACTCAATTTTGCCAAGTTGTCCTCTCGGGCTCTGAAAATAGGTGACAACCCTATATTTATGCTTAGCATTTACATAAGCACTAGCATTAACATGGTAAACACTTAAAACATGACATAAAAGCATCATTCATTACTGGGTGTCTACACATTGACTAGTTTTGACACTTAAATTGGAATTGGGTACTTTTATTGACACATTATAGCACTGGTTTTCAATTTGTCACTTAAGTGACAACTAGCATTGTAACAACTTTGTATTATAAAGCACTTGATTCAACACTAGTTATTTTATTTATTAATATCACCTTACTCACCTTACTAATCAATATAATATTGTATTTCAAAACTAATAGGTTGACAATTGATATATGAATATTTGGTAATTATAAGTACTTAAAATAAACAAAAAATAAAATAATCAGGTTTAGACTCATATTATAACAAATAAATGGTGTGTTTTGTTTCATTTATAATTTGTATGAATAAATAATTTTCAAATTATCATTTTTAACTTTAAGTGCTAGAGATTAACAAAATAACTAGTGTTGAATGAAATGCTTTAAAATGCAAAGTTGTTACAAGGTTAGTTGTCACTATATTTATAAAATGATAATTCACTGAGTCACTGCATTATAATATAAAGTTATGTTATTCAATATTTTTATCGATTCCAAAATAGAATACAAAGATTTGTAAAGACTTCCCATTCAACCCTGGTACAATATATGCAATTATAATAATGGTTTTGATGATGATTTAAATTTGAAAATTGTTTTGATATTAGGATTAAAAATTTTATTGTAATTTAATTAATCCAGTACATGTAATTTAAATTCATATAATTCAGATAAAGACATTAATATGTCGTATGGTTTAGTTTATATTTTCTAATAAAAGTACTTATTTAACATATTATAATAATTAATTTTGTTTAAAATGGATATAAATAGGTATAGAGTTATAATAAGTTTTATATAATTACTTAACCAAATATAAAATTCTATATATAATAATATAGAATAAATTGTGTAATATTTGCTTGCTGCATTAATAAAGTATATTTAGAAATAACAAATTATTAAATTTTCATAGAAATTGATTTGCAATTTGAATGAATGGTCTCTCAATCAAAACATAACCGAAATAACTGATAATAAAAGTAATAATTACTTGAATAGTGTACTCCAATAACTGCAATAATAATTCAATTAATTAATTAGATTTAAAAACACTATTAATTCAGTTTAAATACAAAATCCATTTTAATAAACACTTACCGCTGTCCCCACTGTTATGTAAACTGTTTGTCTGGTTGTGTAAAACATATATTTGTCAACAGTTAGATGAATGAGACAAGCCTGGTAAGTCAGTTTACTAATGGGTTGCCATCCCTTCCACGACAGTATGCCGTTGAGCACCGGTGCCCCACCCGTCCCACACGTGTATATTATATACGCCATACATATAGACCATAGGATGCAATGGATTGAGACATACAATGCACTCAACATATTATCGGATGGTATGGATTGGTTTTCATAAAAAAGCCTCATTAATAGTATCATGGTCATGGTTGCAATACATAATTTCCATAAATTATAACTGTATTTCTAAAAAAATTATTAAATTATTGAAATTGCTTGCAATAATATACAAAATATGTAAAGTTGTTTTATTCTCAATGTTGCCAAAAACTAGCCTATTATTCATTATAACATATCTCTTAACTTTTTACGATAGGCGCTCATTGGGAAAATTACCGATAGTACATATCTGATAAACCAAAATCAAACGTATATCTGAAAAGTTGCTTTTATTTCTTATTGAAACATTGCTTTACTGTAAAGTTTGAAATTTATAAGGTTTAATATAAGTAAATTTCAAACTTTACAGAAAAGCTTTTCTTATTGAAACATTGCTTTACTGTAAAGTTTGAAATTTATAAGGTTTAATATGAGTAAATTTCAAACTTTACAGAAAAGCAATGTTTCAATAAGAAATAAAAGCAACTTTTCAGATATACGTTTGATTTTGGTCTATCAGATATTATAACCTTCAGCACGTAGTATATGATTGAAATGTACAGGTTTCGATTAATATCGACTATCCCAATGAGCGCCTATCGTTATAAGTTAAGAGATATAGGCTAGCTTTGGCCACATTGACAATAAAACAACTGTACATATTTTGCGTAACGCTTATTCGGATTTTTGCGATAATAGTACGCCAATAGTATCCCGATACAATAAGCTCCCACATACGTAATAAAGTTGAAGTAAATTTGCTTAACAAATCTAGAAATAATTTTTCGACTATTACTAACAGTATTATCATTTATGTAAAATTTTAAACTAAATCTAAGTATTTTTATATATTATACTTACATAGAATTTGTAGTTAATTGGGCATTATTTTGTACATATATTACTCCAGTTGCAATTATGCTTAGCATAATAACCAACAAATTAATTCCAACACCAAGCACCTGTTTTCTAAAAGTATAATTTTTAAAAAATATAATCATACCTGTATATTCTTATCCATTGTATTGTTAAATTTAACATTAATATTAAAATATATTTAATTGTACTTGATTTGTTTAGCAGTTAAAAATTGTATTAATAAAGGTGAAATTAGGAAAAGTTTCCATTCGATTCGTAATGACCATGTTACTCCCAAACACTACATACATTACATGTATATAAGATGATGCACTCCGCGAAATATTGATAGGTTCCGCGTAATTCTCGGTCAATTCGCGGGGTGGGGTAGGTCAGATAATTTTATGACAAGTTAACCGCAATTATAGTCCCCCATAAGAAACTACATAGTCAAGTATTAAAAGTTCATGATCTACCGTTTGGCCGCAGTGACCACATTTGTAAAATGTGTTTTTTAAGAGTGTGACAAAATGATAGGTTCACATGGGTAAATTATAATTATCTGGCCAGATATCTTTTGGACGACCTCGGAAAGCCACAATTACTTTATATTGAGCTGATCTAAGTTAATTTCCAATTTAAACTGGTCAAATCGGTCAGTGGCCACTTTGCCGATTCTGCTTAGTAAACCACCCGAGCAGCACCCAGCAGCTGCTGTGCACCCAGTGAGCAGAATCGGCAAAGTGGCCACTGTTTGGGGCTCGCGAACATTGGTCACAAAGTCCCTCTCAGTAGCACACCCGTTGAACGATTTGACCAGTTTAAATTGGACATTAACTTAGATCATCTCGATATAAAGTAATTATAACTTTCCGAGGTCGTCCAATAGATATCTGGCCAGATAATTACAATTTACCCATGTGA